TTACAGCAGAGATATTTGAAATCACACATCCAATTTCCCCATTTTTCAAACGCCCTCCACGAGCATGCTCATCATCAAAATAAACACAAATAATTAAATTCAATTAAAGACCCCTACCGCCCTCTGATACAAACCAACAATTCCAATTTCAGGAAACAAAAATTAAAAATAAAATCAAACTCAACTAAAGACCCCTAGCGCCCCTTTTGCTTCAAGGAAATTAAAAGCAAAAATTCAAATTTTTTCAAACATCACAAACGTCTTCAATTTGCATTAGTATCATTAAAAAGAAATAAAAATACATACTCTTAGCGTCCCATAATGCAAACCATTTATATTTAATGAAAAAATCAAAACGCCTTCCAGAAAAAAAATATGGAAGAAAATAATATTTAAAATCAAATTCAATTAAAGACCCCTAGCGCCCTCTGTTACAGCAGAGATATTTGAAATCACACATCCAATTTCCCCATTTTTCAAACGCCCTCCACGAGCATGCTCATCATCAAAATAAACACAAATAATTAAATTCAATTAAAGACCCCTACCGCCCTCTGATACAAACCAACAATTCCAATTTCAGGAAACAAAAATTAAAAATAAAATCAAACTCAACTAAAGACCCCTAGCGCCCCTTTTGCTTCAAGGAAATTAAAAGCAAAAATTCAAATTTTTTCAAACATCACAAACGTCTTCAATTTGCATTAGTATCATTAAAAAGAAATAAAAATACATACTCTTAGCGTCCCATAATGCAAACCATTTATATTTAATGAAAAAATCAAAACGCCTTCCAGAAATAAAATATGGAAGAAAATAATATTTAAAATCAAATTCAATTAAAGACCCCTAGCGCCCTCTGTTACAGCAGAGATATTTGAAATCACACATCCAATTTCCCCATTTTTCAAACGCCCTCCACGAGCATGCTCATCATCAAAATAAACACAAATAATTAAATTCAATTAAAGACCCCTACCGCCCTCTGATACAAACCAACAATTCCAATTTCAGGAAACAAAAATTAAAAATAAAATCAAACTCAACTAAAGACCCCTAGCGCCCCTTTTGCTTCAAGGAAATTAAAAGCAAAAATTCAAATTTTTTCAAACATCACAAACGTCTTCAATTTGCATTAGTATCATTAAAAAGAAATAAAAATACATACTCTTAGCGTCCCATAATGCAAACAATTTATATTTAATGAAAAAATCAAAACGCCTTCCAGAAATAAAATATGGAAGAAAATAATATTTAAAATCAAATTCAATTAAAGACCCCTAGCGCCCTCTGTTACAGCAGAGATATTTGAAATCACACATCCAATTTCCCCATTTTTCAAACGCCCTCCACGAGCATGCTAATCATCAAAATAAACACAAAAAATTAAATTCAATTAAAGACCCCTACCGCCCTCTGATACAAACCAACAATTCCAATTTCAGGAAACAAAAATTAAAAATAAAATCAAACTCAACTAAAGACCCCTAGCGCCCCTTTTGCTTCAAGGAAATTAAAAGCAAAAATTCAAATTTTTTCAAACATCACAAACGTCTTCAATTTGCATTAGTATCATTAAAAAGAAATAAAAATACATACTCTTAGCGTCCCATAATGCAAACCATTTATATTTAATGAAAAAATCAAAACGCCTTCCAGAAAAAAAATATGGAAGAAAATAATATTTAAAATCAAATTCAATTAAAGACCCCTAGCGCCCTCTGTTACAGCAGAGATATTTGAAATCACACATCCAATTTCCCCATTTTTCAAACGCCCTCCACGAGCATGCTCATCATCAAAATAAACACAAAAAATTAAATTCAATTAAAGACCCCTACCGCCCTCTGATACAAACCAACAATTCCAATTTCAGGAAACAAAAATTAAAAATAAAATCAAACTCAACTAAAGACCCCTAGCGCCCCTTTTGCTTCAAGGAAATTAAAAGCAAAAATTCAAATTTTTTCAAACATCACAAACGTCTTCAATTTGCATTAGTATCATTAAAAAGAAATAAAAATACATACTCTTAGCGTCCCATAATGCAAACCATTTATATTTAATGAAAAAATCAAAACGCCTTCCAGAAAAAAAATATGGAAGAAAATAATATTTAAAATCAAATTCAATTAAAGACCCCTAGCGCCCTCTGTTACAGCAGAGATATTTGAAATCACACATCCAATTTCCCCATTTTTCAAACGCCCTCCACGAGCATGCTCATCATCAAAATAAACACAAATAATTAAATTCAATTAAAGACCCCTACCGCCCTCTGATACAAACCAACAATTCCAATTTCAGGAAACAAAAATTAAAAATAAAATCAAACTCAACTAAAGACCCCTAGCGCCCCTTTTGCTTCAAGGAAATTAAAAGCAAAAATTCAAATTTTTTCAAACATCACAAACGTCTTCAATTTGCATTAGTATCATTAAAAAGAAATAAAAATACATACTCTTAGCGTCCCATAATGCAAACAATTTATATTTAATGAAAAAATCAAAACGCCTTCCAGAAATAAAATATGGAAGAAAATAATATTTAAAATCAAATTCAATTAAAGACCCCTAGCGCCCTCTGTTACAGCAGAGATATTTGAAATCACACATCCAATTTCCCCATTTTTCAAACGCCCTCCACGAGCATGCTAATCATCAAAATAAACACAAAAAATTAAATTCAATTAAAGACCCCTACCGCCCCTGATACAAACCAACAATTCCAATTTCAGGAAACAAAAATTAAAAAACAAAATCAAACTCAACTAAAGACCCCTAGCGCAAACAAACTATTCTAATTTTATTAAACATTCTAACAGCATCCAGAAGCATGAATGTCATCAAAGTAAAAAAATATATAAAATTTAATCAAATACCCCTGGTGCCCTCCTGTTGAATCACACTTTCAAATTCCTTATTTTCCAAACGCCTTGCTGTTTTATGACATGAGTATCATCGAAGTAAAAACAAATTAAATTTAAATTAGATACTCCTAGCGCCCCCTGTTGCTTGTTTTAATTTAAAAATAAAATCATCTTTTTTAATTCCTCCGCTGAATTTGTATTTGCTTAACAATTAGAAAATAAATCAAGTTTTTAAAGATCGTTTTGTGTGGAGGCATTTAAACTCATCTTACAATTTTGTTAAACACTTCATGATTGCCTACGGCGGCTGTCTCAGAGAACTTAGATTTTTTTGTTCACCTTGCTGATACATCACAAGAAAGGTGTGTGTTATGTTTATGGACTTTTGATTTTTTTATAATGTGTATGAAAACAATAAGAGGGCGTTAACAGTAAAGGTCTAGCATGAGGAGCATCAGGAGGGCGCATAAGGTATGAAACACAAATCATTTGGGGGGGCCATGGCCCCCCCTGGCCCCCCCTTGCGCACGCCTGTGATGGTACGCATTGTCCAACAGTTTTTTTTTTTTTTTTAATTGTGTTTTAGATATTTTTGGCCATGGTATTTTGATCATGATCTGTTCTAACCAGGCATGGAAAATCATTTGCATTCATTTCGTGCATTCATTTACATTCATTTGCCTCTAACTTTTTTTTCAACAACATTCCGCAAAATGATGTATAGAGCTTTTGTAGGTTTTGTTATCAAATTTTGTTAACAAGTCAAATCCATATCTCTTATGCATGACGAACCAGAGCAAACAAAAGCCACTACTGTTTTTAAGTGAATGTATTTTACATTCACTGAAAAACAGTAACAAGTTCTGCCCGCTCTAGTTCGTGATGCATAAGAGAAACAGATTTGAGTTATGAGCAGTTGTAGCTAATAATAAAACCTACAAAAGCTCTATACATCAATTTGCGGAATGGTGTTTAAGAAAAAAGTTAGAGGCAAATTAATGTAAATGAATGCACGAAATGAATGCAAATGATTTTCCATGCCTGGTTCTAACATCAATAGTTGCGGTACGTTAGAAGCGTTAGGTTTCTATAGTTGTGCATGGAGACTCAATACACAACTATAGGAACCTAACGTACCGCAACTATAGGAGCGTTTCCTTTTTTTGTATTACTTCTGCGTGAAATCTACGATTTACATAGTTGTAGAATGCAAAACCTTCATAAAAGTTGTCCTTGCTCGTTTTCTACTCTCTATACATACAATTTCACACTACCGTACTCTAACAGAACTATCAACTCTATACTTTCATCTCCTCATCTATCGTATAAAAATTACCACTCTAGTCTGTTATTTGAAATTAGCATCTTCAACTAAGTGAATCGTTGACGTCACGCAGAAGTAATATAAAAAAAACATTTATTATAGTTAAAAAACAATAAGTTAGTTTTCAATAAACGCCACACCAAACTTGTTTCTTTTCCGGCTTGAGGATTGCAATCAAAATAGCCACTAAGGTCTAAGGTTACACAATTTATTTCAATGTCCAATATCTTTCTTAATGTAAACATTTTCAGTTTTACTACTTCACTAAATTAGGGAATATTATACTATGTACATATAAAAAATGTTCTCATAATCGTTCTTTGTTGTTTTACTGCTAAAATCTGACTTTTCACAAGCTTAAATATAACCAAAAAAATAATAAACATTTATAAACTCAATTTCGTGCTTCTAGAGAACACAAACAGGACAAATTGAAACATTTGAACAGAGCAAAAAAAAAATAAGACATAAACATGATACAATTTCACATTGATTTAAAAGCACCAATGGGAAAATCGCTTCTCGGCGTTTCGCGTGTGAGTTAACATAAAAAAATGTATGTGTACATAATGTGCATAAACTGAAAGTTTACCTTTGGAAAACATGCCACCGTTTTTTGATACCAACTAGAACAAATTTTGTAATTGTAATTTCGAATTTCACTTCTCTTAGCTCGCCACTCCTCTACCGGGTCCAGATCAGTTCGCGAATTGTTTTATCACATCGTTGTTGAATTCACCAGATTTTGTAATTTTCACACTTCGTTTGTCCTACTTTAAATCGATAGTTGAGTCTTTCTCTTTTCCGCAAAAATTGATCGTTAATCTACTAGTCGTCTTCGTCGTCGGGCAGCTAACAGTGCTGTATGTCGTTAAAAAAGAGAAAACAATTCCGGACAATCTAGCAACTACAGTTAGTTGGAGGAATTTCTTAGCAGCACGAACTTCGTGCCGATTCCGCTACCACTAGGTTAAAGTCTAGATTGCTGGGCCTCGGGAAACCCTTCTTGATGCCATCCCATCCGTCCTCGACCTTGTACTCGCCGGACTGGATCCGGTTGTAGACCTCCTGGGTGACCAGACTGAACGCTTCCCTCACGTTGACCCCGGTCCGTGCCGAGGTCTCCACGAAGATGAGCCCATTCTGTTCGGCAAAGGAGCGTGCCTCTTCGACGCTAACCTCACGCCTCTGCACCCCACTGTTAACTAGATCCAGCTTGCACCCGACCAGGGCAAACACCGGCCGGTGCGGCTCGATGTGCCGCTTCGCTTCCATCATCCACAGGGGAATGTGCTCGAAGCTGGCGTGGTTGGTGATGTCGTACACCAGCAGGACCCCGACCGAGTTGCGATAGTAGGACTTGGTGATCGAACGGAACCGCTCCTGGCCGGCCGTGTCCCAGAGCTGCAGCTTGATCCGGGTGCCGTCCTTCACCTCGATCAGGTGCGCGAAAAAGTCAACGCCCACGGTCGGATCCGATAGCTGGAAAGAAAACAAGAGAATGGCGCGTGATTAGGAGGAGGTTGGTTGGAGAAATGCAAAACAGGTTTACTTTTATGCATAGTATATGAGCAAATGAGATTGTGCGGCATCACGCAACGGTTCCAAACGGTAGGCTGTTGATTTTTTTTTGTATTTGTTAGGGGCCAAAAAAAAGCACATATTTGACGATACGCTGCTCATTCTAGCGGAACGAGACACGCTTGCCCACCGTGTACGTAGTAAGTAGCGGAACGTATTTATAGGCTTTGAACGGTGAAGCCTTTCAAAACTAACTCGCGAAGCAGGCATGGAGTGATCAGCAATATTGTATTTGTTGAAAACGAAAGTAATTTAGTTTCCTCTTTTCAGTCGAAAAGGTGCAAGGCCGTTTAACTGTTGATTGATAAAATTGGACGTGTTTGTCCACAATAGAGACATGAGAGAGGGGCCTTATCGTTGTGGAACGAAAATCAGTTGGTCACCCATTGGGTTGTCGCTTATTGTTTTTCACTCGATACTCCAGTTTCAAGCCTTCAGCATATGCAATAAGCCAGTGGTCTAATGAACCATGAAATGTATGTAGACGTTCCAACTAAAGGTTTAGAGTTGCATTTAATGCGGACATATCATACACAAGTGGAAGCAGCAAAGGAAGCAAAGTAAAACTTTTCTTTAAATGTCGAGTCATCGGATTTAATACATTCGAAAGCATTTGAATATATGAATAGCCAATACTCGTACTCGGTGAAAAAGCAAGAGTTCACAAGAAGAGCCCTTGCCTAACAACGGATACTAGCTGCACTTTGGTACTCACTTCTCTGACTCAACCCTGCTGCGAGCGCGCACAATAGTAGTGACTTTAGTAACTAAAATAACGGAAATAGTGACCACCAAATAATGACTTTAAACCAATAAAAGCAAAATGACCAATAGTAACATTTATTGATCGGACCGCTTTGAGAAGTAGTATAACCTCACAAACTAACATGAGGTAGGTAGATCTACAACCGTTTTTCGTTTCAATTTTAACTGGGCATAGTAGTTAGAAGCAAAACTGACTTTTTTGAGTTCACTGGCAGCGTTGCTTCAAATGATTCAGTAAGGGTGTGAACTCTAATTAACCCTCATTTAAATTCAGAAAAATGTGGTAAGATTTGAACACTGCTTACCCCAAGGGGTGAACTCTGCACATCCCAATGTGTGCCGAGTACTTTATCTGTGCTGAAAGCTAGGTCAAGCATTGTGCCGAACGTGCCAAACTTTGGCAATCAAGGTATCAGTCTCAGTAAGCCATGAGTTTGGCAACCCTGCACTTATGACTTTTGAGATTGTGTGTTTACATTTTAAAGTCAAGGACGGAAAAAGTTGTGAAACTTAATTCCAATATGATATTCAACGAGCTGGTTGCCGGTGATCCGCTTCAAGGAAGTGGCACTCGAAGTGACTGATGGCAGAAGCTATTCATCCAGGAGAAGACAGTTCTCTACCGTACGGCATTCTAGCAGACGTTTGCCGAAACCAAGTACCCAACCGGCAAGTGGAAGATGAATCTTGTCTACAATATCATCATGCTACGTGGGCAATGCTACAACCTGAAAAATAGGAAGGACTCGACCTAAAATGCCCACCGGCGGTAGTAATAGCAGCAATAGACATGCAGTAGCTTCCCAGTGTCAGCAGTCGTGGTCAGGTACTAGATTCGACTTACTGCCCTCCCCCTTTTTTATCGGGTGTGGGTCACTACTTTGTCCACGGTTTGTCCAAATGTCGGTCCAGAATCTCGATACTGGTTGCAGTCGTTTGGTGACTACCTCGTCCTTGTATCTGCTTGTTGTTCCTTCATGCCGGAATCGCATATTAATCTCCCTGAAACTGCTGCCGGTTCCGATTGCTTGAGCTTGAGCTTGAGCTTGATTGACCGCCCACGGTTGCTACTCTGTTATTGCCAGATCAGCTGTAATTACACAGAGAACCAATAGACGATGCTTGGGACTAGCAATCATCCTCAATGTGTAAAAACTGGTGATCTTGAATTAGGCAATACCAGCGCCGGCCGCGCCCGAACACAGGTCAAGAAAGGAATGGGAAGGATTGTGTTGACATGACACTCGCTTTGATGGAAGCCGAGAACACCTCTGCACTTCCACGAGGAATCACTGGGATGTTGGATAAGAGGGTTGGGTTTGCAGCAGGGTTCGTTTTGGTAAACGATAAGCTGAATTAATGTCCTAATGATCATATAACGCGAAGGAGCTTGGGACTAAACCCACGGTCTTCTGCTCAGTAAGCAAAAACGTTTGCCACTAGGCAGACGAGCACCTTTTTAATCACCGAGTTGCTATTATTACCATGTAGTCATATTAACAAATAAAACGATTGACGAATCTTGATTGTGGATGGGCCTGAGATTAGACTCATGATGTTCTGCTCAGTAAGCAAAAACGGTTGCTCTAAGGCCACCGAGCCCCTCATATCACATAATACCGTTGCTCAAATTTTTGTATCCATTCAAACCCGGAACCAACGACAACAACGAGTTTCGCAAAATACACGATACACAAGCGATTTTACTATAAATCTCTTTGATATGTAAGGACCTGGGACCGCGTTTTTCTGCTCAGTAAGCAGGCCACTGTAACCGACGATCTTTCAAATCCGAAAACTAAAAACTACGAAAAAGTACTTAGGCCTTCATTAAGTTCCACATTCACGCGACGTACAATGTTTCAATTTGCTCTTTACGTATTGTTCAGGCTAGGCCCTTTTCAAAATTTACGCGAGAAATACGCACAATCGTCACCTACCTCGCAAAACTGGTTCCAAACGACAACAAAGGCATAAGCAACGATGGATTGTTGAACTTTGCTGGCTCCGGTGGTGTAGTGCACAGCAAAAAAAATGTAATATCGATCAACGTAATTCAAGCTGATGTATGGAATAATGATGTAGGGTAGATGTACCAGTCATGGCTATACGCTCCTATTATGATGTGCTCCAATCATGGCATATAGGATTTCCATAGGCCATGACTGGAACACACCACAACAGGAACGCACAGCCATAACTGGTACATCTACCCTAATTGTAATTTTGTAATTTATCCGCACACACCTTGGTCGACCACTGTAAACCAATCTGCCGTTCAGCGTTTTCGGTTTTTGTTTCTGGATCTTTAGTTGCCTCTGTGATATACTTACTTGCGGCATACTATTTTGAAAGTGTATATGAGCGTGTACCATGTACGGTAGCTCATCTCTCATCGTGATGGTGGGACATAGCAGACAAATTAGAGAGAAAACAAGGAGGTATTAGTATTAGTTATATGTAAACAAACTAAACAAAAGTTAGATAATGCGGCACTGTAACAACTACTATTTTAGAGGTATGATTCGTCATGTTTAACTCAATGTTTCAATTGAGGCAAACTATCTATCTTACAATTACAAAAGCAAACCTAAACTTACAATTATATGCAAATGCAAAATGAAACTTGACAAATCATCGTCAATTCCCTTATTCCAGGGCAGGGCCTGACGATTTGAATCTAATTTTGATCAGTGAACGGGCACCATATGGTACATTTTCTCACCATGAACCTATCATTTCCAGCCTATCTGAACTATTTAATAAATGGAAGCCATAACATGGGTTACGCTCCCCCTAAGCGGGCCCTCCGCATCCTGTCTCTGTCTTATCTCAAATACAAAATGCCAATGGTATGAATGTATCTATATATAACTTGGAAATGACGTACAATCAAATAAACCCGTAACCCACTCACTTGGTCAGGCTTCAGAATCGTCCAGTGGGCAGTGCATTCTACACTCCAAGTTCCCTTTTTTTCAAATTTACCGCAAATTTGATATTTTACCCATTGAGTGTTGATTAGTCACAATGAAACATTGTGACAGAAGTTGAGGTTACTAGTGTATTAAATAATCTAGGTCCTATTTAGGATTATATCTGAAAAATCCAAATCTGGCCAACGCCCACCCTAAACCTAAACCTGTTCTAATCCACCTGAAATGACTAACGAATGGAAGACTTTGACTACCCAGCCATGCAATAGTCTCATTCCGTGCCTTATGGCAACTTGATGATTCTATTGCGCTCATCTTCTGGCACCACCCAGGGGAGACTTGGTCCTGTACCCAATGCTTAACTTATCTCCATTCCACTCAACTACTCGCAATTTCGTGTGATATAGTGGGCGGAATATTATTATATGAGACAATTCAATGCAGACGTCTTTCCAAATTTGGCAGATCGACAGGTAATCGGTGAGTTAGCACGATAGTTGCTATTCAACAACTCGACAACGTCCCATCGTCAACGCCTGCTATGAGAATTTCCCATAGCAGACGCCAACGAAATGACGTCATCGAGCTATCGATCAACTACCCTGGTTATCGCCTGGTACCTTATAGCACGATGCTAGGAGGCGAACCGGAAGAATCGATGAGCTACCTCCCCCTGAAACTGCTGCCGGTTCCGATTGCGTTCATTAAGACCGCGATTCAGATAGGGTCTGTTACCTCCGGTGTGGTTACCTTCACAATTCTGTTAGCAGCATCTTTCTTAATGTTGCTGTTGCCGTTGGTGATACGAACTGTTGCGAAATAGTGTAGAGAGACCTCCACAGTAAATCCGAATCCAAGTTCAGTCCATAGAATGAGCTGTACGACTAACTGATTGGTGAACCATCAATCGTACCGATTGCAGATACATCTGCAGAATGGAAGGATTGTTCGGCACCGGGCTGTTGTTGACACCGTTCATTATCGCTGCAATGCTCCTTACCCATACAATTGAATCTCGGTTCGGATCCTATGGCCATCGAGTTGATACTTAATTCTAGTTAATTCTGGCCTATTTTGCGAGGCGTGGTGACTTTGTCTAGTTCGTTTGGACTTCCCTGAAACTATGGACATCTCTTAAAAGCCTTGTGGACTTTCTGTAGAGGTTCATCCCCCAGAAGGAATAAGGAAAAAGAGGGTCTCGTCAATTATACAATCTCTTAGGTGGCAATTACGCTGGAAAATGACGCTGACAAAAAAATCCCTTTTCCCCTTACTTTGAAGTCAACGAAGAAATAAACCTTAGCAACGATTGGCAAAATTTCAACACAAAACAGTGATGCCATTTTATATTATATTTTGTGTCATCGTGTGCCATGACGTGCCGATTAGTGTGCCACCATGTGTTTCGACACAATGTGCAGAGTTGAATACCCCTTGGCTTACCCTGCATCCATTCATCCAGGAATTCGAAAAGCCTCCGGGGGGAAGTGATCGGAACATACATTTTTCGTTGCAAGCGCTTGGGACTCCACGTGAGAAGATAATCTCCTGTAGTTCGGGCAATTTAGCATCCTTAGGAAAATTGTGAAAAGATTTTCGCTTGGTAACACATTGTTTATTTGCGCACCAATGAAACTCGCAATGCGGCCCAAGTTTTGATCGGTTTTAAACAAACAATGTTTTGCTCATAACATTTATGTTAAGATGACGTCTGCCTATCATCGACGTCGATGGGCAGCGACACTAGCGCCACCATTATTCAAAATAGCAGTTAAATTTCTTACACACTTAAGGAATTTGACTTGGATGTCTGTTTTCTGTGTTACAACTAAAGAGACTGGATTGGGTAAAGAAGCGACATCTTATCCATTTGACAGGTCTTCTGCTTGATAGGAATAACTTTTCCTATGACTTTGACATTCAATCGATTGTTCCTATTTTGACGTCGTCTCTTTATAAATTCAGCCTCTTAACTTACAACTTCTTCTCAGATGTCATTTTGATCAGATCTATAGTTTTCATGTTGATTTTTTGAAAAAAAAAATACAATCTATTTTTTTTTATTCGTCCTTTTCAAAAGTTAATGGGAAGAAAAAAAAATCATATTTAAATAAAATTGCAACCATTGGTAGCAGCGAACATATAAGCAATGTTTCATTCAAATCGGAAGGGGCAAATTGGCATGTTTTTTAGCGTTGTGGGCTGGAAATGCTCTACACCTATTACATGTCCGAACGTCTTTCCTACTGGGACTTTACGCCGGCTCTCAACTTTGTGTTCTTTGACCACTTCTACAGTTGTTAATTGAGAGCTTTAAGCATGGTCTTGCTTAATAACTGCGCCTTTACCGACTGAGCTAAGGAAGGCCCAACATGGCCGGTCACAACTTCTGAAATCGATCACTACCCCCGCTCCCCCTCAAATGCTACGTCATTTATGCATGTTCCCTTACTGCAATCTTGCAATTGAAAACCTTTCGTTCGATTTTCAATAGTTTTTATGGAAAAAAAAAACTATGAATTTCCTCCTATTAGCAACACTGTCCAGTGTAGTCAGTTCTACGGGTTTATCTGTAGATCTACGGATTTTAAGATTTACTACGGATCTACGGACCGACCATAAAATTTTACCATATTTAAGTGATATTTAAAAAGCGCCAAACGGCGAATTTTTTAAAAATGGTCGTTTAATTTAGCAATAATTAACGCAGTGGCAACAAATTTACGAATCAAACTCCATGAAAAGTTAACAACACTGTAGCTGCTTCGCCCGTATCAGTAAAAGGGAAGGCAGCAGACAGACACAAAGCAGAAATACCTACGCCCGAATAAGCAAAGCTAATTCAAAATGTAAATTATCTTCAAAGTGATACGCATTCAAACCTGATTAGCGTATTGAAATTTACTTGTGCTCTCTGCGCCCATCATCATGGCATGTGAGTGTGAGATTCCACCACCTTTATGCGTTTTGAAAACCGTAAACAAGAACATCAAGCTGCTTAGCCTTATCTGCTAGTAAATAAACCATCACCAATCACTCGAGTTACAGGCATATGGTCTGCTCTTGGTGCTCTAGTTACTTTTCGAAGGATTCCACAGGCTACGTAGCAAGTTGGAAGTTCAACCTAGTGAACTGCAATAGCTGTTATAAATAATGGTTCAATCGAATGCTTCCTGAGTCACTCCAATTAAGGAGCAAGAGTGTAAACAAACACTTTGGAGTGTCAAGGTCACCCACTCGCTACCGTATAGGTACATTTTCCTTCCACGGCGACGGACTAGCTTTTTATTATCGCGAACACACATCGAAAACGTAAATCCCAAAAACTTATCTGACTCATCCAAAACTAAAAACCACTCACCTCCGCAAACTTGCCATCGGTAAAGTATTTGAGCAGTGACGACTTGCCCACGGTACTGTCCCCGATAAGAATATGTCGGAATTGGTAGTCGAAGATTGGTTCAACCATATTTTCTCCGGATACTGCTGCTGTTGCTGTTCTACCTTCGCTGCTCCCTTATCTACGAAACTCGAATTTCTGTTGAACCGAAGAATTTCTCTTACGGGACCGGACCCAACTCGAACAGCGGTTGATCCGCTTATCAGCCACAAAGCACTGTCGGGCGGTATACAAAGATCTTGTTTTCGTTTTTTCTTGCCCGTCGGGTGTTATCTTGAGCTCACGGAATTGCTCTTTTTTATCACTGCACTAAGATATGAACATCACAGTTTAATATCGAGAAAGGATAAATATTATGTAAACACACACGTCTTCTAACTACGCGACAGTTTTTCGTTCTCCGAGAAGGATGCGAGAATACGAAAAATATTTTTTTCCGTTCGCAGTGCGATCGAAAAAGAAAACTTGGCTGCGGATGGCTCTTTGCTGAAAAACACTTTTGATTTTTATGGCAGCGTTTTGACAGGTATGTGCGACGGGAAAATGCCCAGGGCTGTCGGACGAGTGTTGGCATAAAATTTAGTTGTTGGTATTGTTGGTATAAAATGTATGTACTATAAAAATACTTCATATAAAAAAATCGATTACGAGGGGTGCACTCTGAAATGTATTACAAACACTTAGTAATGATAACTAATGACCAAAAATTTTAATATTTAAAAATTTACGTCATGTAGTGAAACTTTTCCTAGCTTTCGCCACCTACATTTCGATGTGAGAACTACTACAAAGAGGATAGTTTCCAGTTGCGTGAGAGAACGTGTTTGCAGTTATTAATTCGAAATGGATCGGTGATATTTTCATGGAAAATTATGCATAACAAATTTGCACTCGCAGGAAGGGTTGCCTCCTGCGCATGTGCAGTTTTCGGAAAATGGTTAATATGTGCAATTTACACTAAGATGAAAGTTTAAATTAAGTGAATTCACTTAGGAAAGATTGTATCACAGACAAACAGACATAACACTCGCAAGTTGTTCATCGAACAAGCATTTAACGGTCAATTTAAAAGTATCGTAGTTGGTAGTACCGCCACCTGTGGCGCGCATAGTCAATTCCCTTGCGTTTGACGTTTACACACTACCGCCATCTGTTCAGCGTACTACCCAACACAGTGTACTCAACAGATGGCGGTAATGTTTTAGCGACGATGTTTTACAGTGAGAAATATTCAATGTGTTATGTCTGTTTGTCTGTGATTGTATCATTCTGGTGATCTTGGAGAAATTATTGTATACGACGCCAATATTCAATAATTTACCTTTTTTTCTGCATCATCTGAAAGAACTTTGATTTCTGAGCACCACGATATTTATTTCGATTCCATAGACATTCATCTTAATTTGAAAATCAAGATTTAAATTTTTAAATGTTGACAGTCAATATATTCGTTGACAGCTTGCTCACATACAAAGTCCCATAGAGGGACGCTAAGATGGTGATTTTTCCTCATGTAATCGCACTTATTTAAAATAGTTCCAGTGCACCAAAATTGATAAAAAAAATTATTGTTCATGAATATGCATTTACCCTCGCATTTACCTCAATAGGCTCTTTCCACAAAGATAAATACTAAGATGAAACTGTCGGAAGAAAAACTTTATATGTTAGTGTCCTCTTTCATGGTCCCTTTCATCCAATGAATACCCCACGTATTCACACCAAAATCAGAGATGTCCCATTTTTTAATTACTCGATTAACAACTAATCGATTATTTTTTGTTCGCTGTGCTGCCATTTTTCCACCAATGAGAGTGCAGCACATGTTTGAAATGATCGGTGATGATCATCTGGAGATGTTAATGCTTATATCGGCTTGATATAACCGATTACAAATATTTTACTTTTCGGTTCGTTAATCGATTAATCAATTATTCGAATCGGCCATCACTAGATGAATGTGAAACGTCATTTGAAATATAAGGACCGTATATAAATAATGATACAATTTTAAAGGGACCAGGGCTAATCACAAATTACGTCCCCACGGTAACTGAAATTAACACGAGTGTTCACCGGTTGCTTTCCATGCACCATCGATGTAGAGTGCGCTAGCCAATTTTTAAAGAAAATGTCATCCAATCAATTTGTTTACATCATAATGACGATTTTCAAAACTCAAAAAAAATGTACATTTTATTGCACAACTTGTAAATCTCCATCGGGAGTGGTCGTATTTTTCGATGATCTACAGATCTGAACTGATTTCCAGCTGAAATAACCACACTTTAAAAATCCGGAAGATCATAACCGCTGGGACAATTTTATAAATCTTAATTTTTCTCATCAAAAATATATGGAAGCACCAGCCAGATGACTGCAAACCCACTATTAATCGCCAGAGGCTGAAATGATCACTTGGTTTCTTTTGAATTTGCCTATACCTTTAAGCAACCCGATTATTTTATTCATTATATGCGCACGAGTATTGATGGTCCGAAAGTGAGGATAACATTTTTTTTTTTGGCTGAAACCAAAGCGAGGATAACAAATTTCGCACTTGAAAATGGGAAAATGGGAAAATCATGTGAAATTTTACATGGAAATTCGCCAATACAAATGTATGGAATTCTATTAGTGTATGAGGCTATACGCTGACCGCGCTGACATCACGGATGAATGCGATGAACTCTCGTTCATCGAATTGACAGCCAGCAATGATTTGTTTACCTTTGCCTGTCAGTCGATCCAAGTTGGTTCAAGTTTTAAAATCAAAATACTAAACGATGTGATGTTCTTTCTAAAAACCTTCCTCTCAAAAACATGCAAGGCTGCGAGACAACCACCACGACTCACCACGACTAATGTTTAAGAAAAATTTCCCGTTGACATTAAGCAACCATATTATTTCTTCTACTGTCACCTTGGATATTTTAGAATGCTAGAGCTTCTACCACCGACAAACTGACATGAAACTTAAACTTAACTCTTGATCGAGAATCCATAATGGCCGATTCAAATGTACAGCGATCCCATCTGTCAAACCCATACAAATGTTTTATCTAGATAAAAATAAATTGTCCGAAATAGATTAGACATGAACCAACTCATAAATTTTGTACGCATGTTCGTGGCTACACGGATAGAAATCTCCTTATACCTTTTGGCAAATTTCTATTGCTGATTATTCATAAAATGTACAAGTCAACTTATAAGCAGACGCCTTGCACAAAGTTAATGAAGATGATGTGTCAAATGAAATGTATAAGCGGTCACACATACCTTTTATGCATTCTTATAGGACCTATGTGGTTTGTCTTATGGAATGTATAAGGCTGATGCTTTGGCAAAAATGTATAAGTGGAAAACATGAATTAAATAATTGATTTTTGTTTCGTGTAGGATAAATATGTTCCGCGAACACGGTGGCAGATGTCAGTTTTGTACTTTGATCAGAAATTTCTTTGTTATTTGTATGATCATTCATGTCGGTTTGTCGGTGCTTCTACTGCAGATCCAGCAACCCATTTCGGAATGCCAGGTAATTCATGTCCATTCCGAGGTCACTTCCAAGGGGTGAGCGAGGGGGTGAGACAACTTTACTCTGAGCTGCTTTTTACAGCGACTAACTCGCGAGTAACTCAATATACCTCAAAATTCAATCGACGTTTCGATTTTTTTTCTCCTCTATTTACTCCGTTAACTTCCTTTGAGAATATGCATATTAGACGTCAGTTTTGTTGGCAAACAGAGAAAAATTGTTCTGTGTTTTTTGCTCGTATTCCTCTGGAAATTATCGTAAACAAATGTTTAAGCTTGGAACATCAGAAATGAAATACTTGGCTAAGCCATTCACAACTAATCATATCAAGGAGGGTAATTTCAAAATGTCAGCAATGCAAATGATAAGTTTCGTCCATTTTTTTTCCTTTAATAATCCGTGATAAAATTCCTGAACGCGACCCCGAATGGCTATTTTTGGCACACTATTGAACCTAATTAATTTGATTTTACTTCCCAAATACTACAGAGAATTGGATTATTGAAAAATATAACAAAAAATATATTCTTTCTGAAACCTTTTATTTTATTGAAATCACATTTTAAAACAAAGCTATGAAATTTTACGTTAAAATATTCATGTCATTTCGATTTTTTTTTATCATTCTATTATGAGAGCACATGACAATTGTTTCAAATGTCTACTCTTTTATTTGGAAAGTAATTATTTGTTTGTATAAAATAAGCAGATTTTCACATTAAACACGAAATGCTTTTGATTTGACATTTAAAAAGTTTGGACGAAAGTAGCTACTTTTAAAATAAAATCATGGCCAACCTCTTGATGTGAATGTTATACCTTGTACAGACATACAAAGTACACTGTTGTACCATAGAGGTAACTCTAAGACCACTGGGTCCCGAAGAAAATCATTATTATTTTTGGCTCACTCAGTACCAGAACAACGGTCCCAAGCAGTCCCAAGCTATTTCACTCACCCCTGCATGTTCTGCATGAATCCACACACCCCTGATGTTATCTGTCAAACTTTCATAGCGAATCAAAACAAACATAGTGTAGTAATAGAATTTCAACTAGAATAGGGTACGTTAATCGTTTGCTTGGGACCAATAGGCTACTAAAGTGGTGAGCCAATTTAAAATCGTTAGTTTCGTATTGATTGTTGGTTGTACCATAGAGGTAACTCTAAGACCACTGGGTCCCGAAGGAAATCATTATTATTTTTGGCTCACTCAGTACCAGAACAACGGTCCCAAGCAGTCCCAAGCTATTTCACTCACCCCTGCATGTTCTGCATGAATCCACACACCCCTGATGTTATCTGTCAAACTTTCATAGCGAATCAAAACAAACATAGTGTAGTAATGGAATTTCAACTAGAATAGGGTACGTTAATCGTTTGCCTGGGACCAATAGGCTAGTCAAGAAGTGAGCCAATTTGAAATCGTTAGTTTCGTATTGATTGTTGGTTGTACCAACAATCAATACGAAACTAACGATTTTAAATTGGCTCACCACTTTAGTAGCCTATTGGTCCCAAGCAAACGATTAACGTACCCTATTCTAGTTGAAATTCTATTACTACACTATGTTTGTTTTGATTCGCTATGAAAGTTTGACAGATAACATCAGGGGTGTGTGGATTCATGCAGAACATGCAGGGGTGAGTGAAATAGCTTGGGACTGCTTGGGACCGTTGTTCTGGTACTGAGTGAGCCAAAAATAATAATGATTTTCTTCGGGACCCAGTGGTCTTAGAGTTACCTCTATGGTTGTACTACCGTTGTATTTCTTTAAGCTAGTACCTCAAATTGTACCTTTTGAGGTACTCGATTAAAGGAGTACAACCAACAATCAATACGAAACTAACGATTTTAAATTGGCTCACCACTTTAGTAGCCTATTGGTCCCAAGCAAACGATTAACGTACCCTATTCTAGTTGAAATTCTATTACTACACTATGTTTGTTTTGATTCGCTATGAAAGTTTGACAGATAACATCAGGGGTGTGTGGATTCATGCAGAACATGCAGGGGTGAGTGAAATAGCTTGGGACTGCTTGGGACCGTTGTTCTGGTACTGAGTGAGCCAAAAATAATAATGATTTTCTTCGGGACCCAGTGGTCTTAGAGTTACCTCTATGATTCTAGTCGGTTCAAAATCTTGCATTGTAAAAAAGTTGTCTGGCAGATAAAAATGACTGACCGCACATCAAAATTCCCCACCTTTGGAACGCCGTGGGGCCGTTATTTTTGTAAGTGACTACCATTCGACCTGGCATTGGCTCTCGAGATATTCCAAAGCATTAAGCTAGAGGTAATTGGAGGTATCAACACCGACAAACCGACATGAATGACCTTACAAATTACCATGACATTTCTGATCAAAGCACAAAGCACGTCGTCGAATGGGTAAACTATCCCTCAAATGGTTTGGAAGATACTCCGAACACGTCACAGACAAAAAGAAGCCAGTTGTCTCCTCTTCCTATTAGGTTGAAATCAACACCTTTTGTGCGCCCCTCGCTTTGTTTCGAGCCCTTGTTCCCGGTACCAACTTTACGAAAAAACCATTATGTCAAAAGCACACAGCAGAATCCATCTCCCGAGTGGACGAGTTGATTTCTTTCAACTCGCGAGAGCTTCCTCTTTCTTTTTGTCACCGAATCGTTCAGAAGGTAGGTTGTGTTTAGCAGCGTTCAGTAAAATTTACATTTAATGTTAATTTCAAGTCCTAAAACATTAAAAGTGCTGCGGTTTAGGTTTCAATTTCTATTTTAAGTAATCTCAAAGTGAGTTGACTTTAAAATTGCTGCAGTAATTAGTGATTAGGCTTGAAATTTCCCGAAAACTGAAAACCGCGTGTTCGGCGCCTTCGTGGCAGCCATCTTCATCTCAAATCGGCTGTAAACTAATTTTGTCTTTTTTTCTGTTTCTGTTTCAGGATAGTCAGGTATGTACTTTTTTCTAAAAAAAAATCGGGCTGCGGAACCAATAGCACCCTCTGGGGGCCGACCGGAATACGAGATTACGGATCTTTTGGCTTTCTCTCATTGTTTACCTAATGATGATCATAGCATGGCCATGCACCCCTCCGAAGTGCTCTGGAATGACACGGAAAATAACATGCTTCTGAAGCAAACACATGAGAGAACCATTTTCGGACAAATTTGATGTCTGTGTTTCCTTTCTAGGTGAATTGAGACTAATCTCCGGTTCCGTTACAGCTCTTTTATATAGGGAAGAAATGGTTTCGTCTCGGCCCGCTTCAATACTGCCAGTTACCCCGGGGGATGGCGGGGCATTGTGTCCCCGCCTCCCGGGAGGCAGTGAGATAGCCCGATGATGTGACTTCTGATCATCAACAAATACTTGATTTCGTTACTAGGGTCTATCCTCACTCATTAGCTCAAGATGGGAGCCTATCGTTACGTGCAGGAATTGTACCGTAAGAAGCAGAGCGATGTCATGCGCTATCTGCTGCGTGTCCGCGTCTGGCAATACCGCCAGCTGACCAAGTTCCACCGTGCTCCAAGGCCATCCCGCCCGGACAAGGCTCGTCGCCTGGGCTACAAGGCCAAGCCGGGTTTCTCGATCTTCCGCATCCGTGTGCGCCGTGGTGGCCGCAAGCGCCCAGTCGCCAAGGGTTGCACCTACGGTAAGCCCAAGAGCCATGGTGTCAACCAGCTGAAGCCGTACCGTTGTCTGCAATCCGTCGCTGAGGTAAGTTTTCTTGGGCTTATGGATGTTACGAGGGTCATTATTCCCCCCCTATCATGATGACGTTTATTCACAACTTCACACTGAGTTCTACGATGAAGGCTTTTTCTTCCTTGGATGTCTGACATTTCGATTTCATCAATAGCAAGAGTATGAGTATTCCATCATTGGTACATTAACTAACGTTTTTTGTTTTCCTCTTATTCCAAATAGGAACGTGTTGGCCGTCGTGTGGGAGGTCTCCGTGTGTTGAACTCCTACTGGATTGCCCAGGATGCCGCCTACAAGTACTTCGAGGTCATCATGGTCGACATCGCCCACAATGCCATCCGTCGTGATGCTAAGATCAACTGGATCACCCGGGCCGTGCACAAGCACCGTGAACTGCGTGGTCTTACCTCGGCCGGCAAGAGCAGCCGTGGACTGGGCAAGGGCTACCGCTACGCTCAGACCATCGGAGGATCCCGGCGGGCGTGCTGGCGTCGTCGCAACCGTCTGCACATGCGCCGTTACCGTTAAGCCGGTGCCGGTGGTGGCGATTGTTAAGGCCGTTGCTGCTGCAGCGGCGGTGGCTTAACGGATGCTGCTATTGTTTTCTGCTGTATTTTCATCTGGATAATAACATTGTGCAAATGGATACTGTTTGTATAAGGGAATAAATCAATGTACGAAAAGCTTAAAATCCAATATGTTATCACTTTGATTCGAAAATCTGCAATTACTGCAAATGTGCCTGTCCTTTGTGTAAGTTCGATAACATGTAAGATTCTGGATCGTATTTCAATTTAAAGTTTCGTGTATAGGACAATTTTGAATTATCCGGATCTAGCATTTTATTAAAATCCAAGGCATAAAAACATTCGGGTCATTTGAGTTTTAACGACTCATAAATATTTTATAATATTATTGCTGATTGCATCTGAAACTGGAGTATGATAAAAGTGCACATTTGCGTCAAATCGTTGTGGTGTCTTCGAAGAACTTATTGCTTGCATCATAAGAAATAAGTGCACGGAAGACACCAAGACGATTAGACGGAAGCTCGCACTTTAATCACACTTTTTAATAAGTGAAAACGCGCTTATTAGTCCAGTTTGGTGTGAAATGCGCAATATAAACCTGAAAGATTTAGCAGGTTTATTATCGGTTCTTTGTATTGCGTGCCCCTCGTGTTATGCTTTATGTATGATGGTTGCATACATGTAGGAGCTACCTGTGCGTCATAATTGGTGGAAGCATACATTTAGGATGCAATTAACACACATGTATAAAGTAAAGAGCCTGAATTTATAAAAAGACGACATCTTATCCATTTGACAGGTCTTCTGCTCGATTGGAATGACTTTTCCTATGACTATGAAAATCCAGGCTCTTTAGTATAAACACAGACAAACAGACATAACACTCGCAAGTTGTTCATCGAACTAGCATTTAACGGACAATTTAAACGTATCGTAGTTGGTAGTACCGCTACCTGTGGCGCGCATAGTCAATTCCCTCACGTTTGACGTTTACACACTACCGCCATCTGTTCAGTGTAGTGCCCACCACAGTGTACTCAACAGATGGCGATAATGTTTTAGTGACGATGTTTTACAGTGAGAAATATCCAATGTGTTATGTCTGTTTGTCTGTGGTATAAAGTTTTCACTTTCTGTAACTCTCGTTTTACGTTACTCATAACAGTAATTCAAACTTCAATGGCTGCTCACGAGTTACCAATAAAAAAGTTCACGAGGCATAGTATGCGATCTATTTCAATCGGGAACGAAAATTTGTGCAAGGAAGCTAGAGCAAAAAAAATCTTTTAACGTACGCGCGCAGGTGAGTCAAAGTGGGAGTGATATTAGCAACCGGTGGAAATGGTGGAAGCTAACGATTTTAAATTGACTCACTACTTGACTAGCCTATTGGTTCCAAGCAAATAGATTAACGTACCCCATTCTAGACGAAATTCTAGTACTACACTATGTTTGTTTTGATTCGCTATAAAAGTTTGACAGATAAAATGACGAGGGGGGCGACTCTATCTTCGATGCAGAAACGATTTTGTTTTGCTGTGCTTAGCTGCACGTACGATGAGTAGATTTCAAGAAGATTGATGAAGATTTTGAAGATTTCCTGCAAAAAGATGGAAGTCGATGCGAGTAGATGGATTTAGATGCTTAAAATGGCAAGAAGATTTTTCGTAGATTTATTCGCTGGCGTGAGATTTTTCGAGCATCTATGATTGAGATTTAGATGTGTCGCCCCCCTCGTAAAATGAGGGGTTTGTGGATTTTCCTATTGTTTATTGTTTATTGAAAAATTCAACTGACAATTACTGTATAAATGAATAAAACTTAAACTAAATAGTTACGGTCAACGGTACGGAAAAGGCCAAGTAGCCGATGACGAAACACGTCAGCTGATACATTGAAGTCGAACATATAAAAAAAGTTGTTGAATTTTTAACTCTTTATTTGTTCCAAATTCAAAATAAATTACATTTCATTTTAACCTAGGTGCTCCAGTTACTACAGTAACTTACCAGCCTTAATTGTTATGATATATATCTAAGTATTTTTACATTGTTCCTGTCTTGGCAATTCAGTATTTTAAGGTTCAATTTACTTTGATGCATTTTCGAAAAAATCAAAAGCAGTTTTTTTCGACGCATTATTTCAGATTGCTAAAAGCTCGCGTCATTTTGTGTAGAATAGCAAAAGGAATCGAATATTGCGAGCATTTTGCAATCTGAACTAATGCGTCGAAAAAAACTGCTCTTGAATTTTTCGAAAAAGCATCAAAGTAAATTGAACCTTAAACAGGTTTTTTAAACCTGCATGTCAGTATAACAATTGATATCTTAAAACTAAAAACTAAAACTAATTCTTATCTAAGTATAAAGGGAATTAATCGTTGCAATTGAGGATTGCAACGATTTTTGCCTGAAATTATTAATTATTTTGTTGGACATTTGTTCTAAAGTCTCAACATTCGAAATTCTATCATAGAGGTAACTCTAAGACCACTGGGTCCCGAAGAAAATCATTATTATTTTTGGCTCACTCAGTACCAGAACAACGGTCCCAAGCAGTCCCAAGCTATTTCACTCACCCCTGCATGTTCTGCATGAATCCACACACCCCTGATGTTATCTGTCAAACTTTCATAGCGAATCAAAACAAACATAGTGTAGTAATAGAATTTCAACTAGAATAGGGCACGTTAATCGTTTGCATGGGACCAATAGGCTACTAAAGTGGTGAGCCAATTTAAAATCGTTAGTTTCGTATTGATTGTTGGTATATATTATGTTGGTATACTATCTTCGGTCCCATGCTTGTCGAATCACCCCTCGAAACATAGGAAAAACCAATAGACGAGTGCACGGATGGATTTGAGTTCACTCACTCGACAAAAAGTGACACAACAGCGGGGCCCTGTTTACTAGAAATGAACATATATGTGTTCATGTTTAGTAAACAGGGCCCCGCTGTTGTGTCACTTTTTGTCGAGTGAGTGAACTCAAATCCATCCGTGCACTCGTCTATAACCCCTCATTTTATCTGTCAAACTTTCATAGCGAATCAAAACAAACATTGCGTAGTACTAGAATTTCGACTAGAATAGGGTAAGTTAATCGTTTGGTTGGGACCAATAGGCTACTAAAGTGGTGAGCCAATTTAAAATCGTTAGTTTCGTATTGATTGTTGCTACTACTAGGTTTCAAAAACGAAGCTCTAGGCTTATGCGAGGGCTTATGTGGAAATATTATAAGTTGAGTTTTAGAAGCGTTGGGAGAAATCTTCCATTTTTGTAAATAAGAAGAGAAAATATCTAAACTTTTCTGCAGTCTGCTGCAAATAACACGAAGACTTCTTCCTTTAGCGGAAATGCCTGTGTCATCAGCGAACAAAGATTTGTGGCAACCCTGAGGCAAATCAGGGAGGTCCAAAGTGAAAATGTTATACAATATAGGCCCAAGAATGCTACCCTGAGGAACTCCTGATTGAATTGCCGGCTGATTGCTCGAATTGGCTCGTGTTGTGTATAATTCCGGCTCCGTGGTTCCAAAAACAGAAAGTTGCGTTGACGAAGAGACCTCTCAGGGGCATACATATTTAGCTGTGACAGCAGTGTTGGGCAGTCAATGTCACCTGTAAGCAGCTTTCCAGCGAACATAGCTTGAGCACATCTATGACACAAACGTCATTCCCATATACTTTGCGTGAAGCCGAAAAATCCTGGTTCTCTGGTTCGATCGAACCAGAGAACCAGGATTTTTCGGCTTCACGCAAAGTATATGGGAATGACGTTTGTGTCATAGATGTGAGCTTGAGCGACCGTCCGTCTCACCTCTAATGGCTCGATTCCCAGGAGACGGCAACGCTCCTCGTACGGTGGCAAGTTCGTTGGGTCACGCCAGTTGAGGAAACGAAGAGCATATCTCACAAACTTGCGTTGAACGGATTCAATTCTAGTGATCCAGCTAGCATGGAACGGGCACCAAACAACTGAACTTGACTCCAATAAGGATCGCACAAGCGAGCAGTAAAGTGACCTGAGACATAGCGGGTCACGTCGGCAATTATGAAAATAAAGCCCAATTGTCGATTAGCTCTGGAGATGATGTCATTGTAGTGGATTCTGAAAGTGAGTCTGCAGTCCAAGGTAACTCCAAGATCCTTTATGTGCTCTACACGAGCAAGACAGCGTCCGTAGAGAACATAGTCAAACATGATTGGTTCGATTTTTCGGTGCTAGGAAATAATGTTACATTTTTCTATGCTTAGACTCATCAAATTTCTTGAGCACCAGTCAGCAAAAACACCTAACATATTCTGGAGATCCCAGCAGTCCGAGAGGCTTTTAATAATTTTGTAGATTTTCGTATCGTCTGCATAGAAAACGCGGCATCCAAATGGTATCAGCAAGGCGACATCGTTTAAAAAGATCGAAAATAGTAGCGGTCCTAGGTTACTGCCTTGCGGGACTCCCGAGTTGTTTGAGAAAACATCCGATTCTGACGCGCCAATCTTGACATGTACATAGCGATTCACCAAGTAAGATCTGAACCAATTTACAGCAGTTGACGAGATGCCAAGTATCTCCAGCTTGGCCAGCAGGATATTATCACAAACGAAGTGACAGACGGAGTGGCTCGAAATTTGGTTTGACGCACTTACATTTGAAATTTTCGAGTGTACCTCACGGCAACACTATCTACTCATATGTACTAGCTTAAAGTAGTTGATGCTATTGGGGCACCGCCTGTTATCTCTTTTTCTCTAACGAAAATTGAAAGGGAGAGCCTGTTGTCAAACTGCATGTCACTATGTTGTGTTCATTGTTATCTGCACTTCTTTTGTATAATGAAAGACCTTAGGCCAAAATGATTAGGAGTAAACACATCGGGTTAACATTTGCTTACAAATAAACGATGTTGAGCTGTCAATGACTCGCGCTTTTTGGCGGCAATTGTTGCTAAAGATTTCATCAGTCGGTGCTCCTAACCAAAGCCATGGTCATTCGCGACCGTGAAGATATCGTTGTTGGACGCCAAACAGGACCCGCCCGTAAAAAAATCCAATAAAAATACAATGATTTTGAATGGAGATTTTTGTTGATTATCATAAAATCAAAACGAAAATCATGGTATATGAGAAATGTACAGTAAAAAAGGG